GATGAAAAACCACGTCTTTAACCACCATCAAGATGGAACGGAGTGACGCTCACATGGGAGCCTGGTCACTTGGCAAGCACAAGTATCCTAAAGGGTATTGGGTATAATCCAAATAAATGCCACCCCAAGTCCCAGGCCCCCAAAAGAAATAAAAAGTACACAACGGGGAGAAGAAGCATAAAAATTCTATTTGCAAGCAAATATTTCCTTTAAAGCTGCGTATATTCAAGTGAAATAATGAGAAGCAGCTAGATTAAGAGGAGTCAGAGAACAGATTATTGAACTTTTACTATTCATGTAAGTACATCTAGAGAGTAAGTTAGAAGTTGATGAGAGCATATTGATGTCTGGATCAAGGTCAGAGTTGAGAAGAATTTGATAAGTATCAGGGTCTTCCTAGAACGGAATTATATATAACATTATATTAAATCCATTTATCCTCAGAACTGTGTCTGGGTCTGGGCTCTTATTAAAAACATTCTTGGAATTAAACAATTATGAGAAAAAGATTGGGATGTGCAAGTTTTCTTTCGCATCTTATGAAAAGATATTAACTGAGTTGAGCTCAAATTTGAGAGGCATAGAAATTGATGAACATTTATTTCTCAACTATGTTAAAGTAATTGACGACTTAATACCAGATATGTGTCCATCAGCAAACAAATATTCAAAAAAATATGATTCAATATTCACTGATTAGTTATCGAATTAATTTCATTTCCGATCAGATTTTGTATTTGAGCCCGATACTTCTCATATCGTTTAATCGTTCTTTTTGATTTTGATGATTTTATTTCATTTGGTGATAAATTCATCATATCAATTAGCTTTCCAATGATAAACTTTATTGATATCATTCTTTTTCGTGTACCATTTACTTTTGGTTCAATATTGTTAATAAGATCAAAAAATTTTATGATTTTCTCGATCTGATTTCTTGATATTTGAATTCGTGTTTCATCATTAATATTATAAATAACTTTTTCCACATGGTATTTTCTTTGATAGACTGATTTTCTTCGGAATTTATACAGGTTCTTATTTAAATCAATGAACTTATAATGTTCCAAATCTGGACTAATCCACAATTGATACAAACAAATAAACCATTTTTCAAACTAATATTTTGATTCTTACAGCATTTCTCTGCAACAGGTTCATTTTTTTTGATAACTTCATCACAGAAAGGACAATAAGTTCTTTTATCATCTATCAATGCTAAATGAATATTATAGTCACATCTATATTAACTATACATAAAAAAAACTTTAAGTATACTTCAACCCATAATACTCAATCGGTCGGGAAGTTTCCGTCTAAATTCAAGAGCAGGTTTAATTAGTTCCGTATCAAAAGGAAAATACATTTGCATTGATTTTCTTATCAAATTGCCAAAAGTTCTTTAGTGTTACTATATCTTTCTTTAAATTCGTTTGTAAAATATACTTTCCACAAACTATCCCGCAATCAAGTGACTTCATTAAAATTAAATTTGGAGATTGTGTTATTTTAATATATCTAATAGCAATGTTTCCACCAATGTTTCCGAAAAAGAATTTAAAGAACATAATATTAAATCACCTAAAATATAATTTTTTATACCTATATTTACTATTTTTTCAAATATCAATGATCTCGTTGCTGTCTATTTTGTATTCAAAACCTTATCATAATACTCAACCATTATCAAGTCCTCTCTCCTTATAAATAGTCCTTCATATAAGGTCCTAAAATAAGTATATGTTTTCTCGTTCCATCTATTCGTTTTTATTCGTGTTACATAACGATGATCACAAATTATCCAGCACATATCATATAATCGTTCATGTTCATTCATTTTTCTATGTAACCAATGAGTGCAATCACATCTTTCACAACTATCAATCAAAGCATCTTTCATTCTACCCATTATATATATCTATATACGAAAAAAACTTTAAATATTTTCGAGATCATTTATCCATTTTCTAAATTCGTCCATTAAATTAACTAAATTCTCATTTTCTTCTAATATTCAATATCCTTAACAATCATATACAATGCCACGATAAAAGTCAACATCTATATATTTATTAATGATATAATTTTTTAATTCTTCTTTAACAAGATTTTTAAGTCTTTTTTTCTTCCTTTGACATCATTGTAACAAATTCCATCAGAAAAAATCTGCTCGCCATAAAATCATTATGATCTCCTCGCAATATTGGTAATACTTGTCTTAATAGTTTTAAAAATGTAGAATTATCGATTTTTTTCTAATTCTCTCATTCTTTATATTTATTAATTATATATTTTCACAATGGTTTAAACAAGTTTGAACAAGTTTTATGAATCCGCCATTTTGAATTATTGGAATTTTTGCAATTCTTGGAATTTTCGTGAGTCTCTTTTTGGATTTCGACTTTGTTGATAACTATATTTCAATATAGTTTGCAAATTTCTGGATTTTTGGACTTTTCAAATTTTTAGAAAACATTTTTTAGATGGAGACTTTTGATATCTGATTTTTATAGCGCAATTTTTCGGATTCTGGACCCCTAAGTTTGCAAAGAGCCAGACACCCCAAATACTATACTACTGACAAGCCACGACTGAAATTAAAATGGCAACTAAGAGCACTCTTCGGATATATCTTGGCTGAAATATAATTTTTTTGGGGCCAGTTTAAATTATGCAACATTTTGTAGTCTACATCCTTACCAAGGAAAAAACTCAGACCAAACTAGTTCCTTGGCATGAGAAAAAAAATTCAATATAGTAGAGTAAAGAATGAAAACGAACGAGAAAAAAGGATTTCTTCGAGAGTTCCAGGATTTCACTTGATCCGAAGTGTGAGGTAAGTTTCCCTAACCAAATGTTCTTTTTTTCCAAATGGCACGTCAAAACACTTGAAATTATTAATAAGACAGCAAAAGGAAATGTTCAACTACAAAACTGTTTCAGGACTACTTGCGCGAGTGGATGGGGATCGTAGAAAACTGTTCAATGAACCTTTACCACTCTTGATAAGGAGCCAAGTGATCAAGATAAATTGTCAGCTTTCCTCCTGGCTCAGTAAACATGGCCCAGAAAAAACATTTCTTACTTGTAGACTTGTGTAAAGCTCCAAGAACGCCACACTCCATTATCACGTTGAAAATTTCTGGACTTTGGATGTTACAATCTATGGTAACACTTTGGTCGTAAAGTGTCAGCAACTGAAGTGGATGGCTGTTTAGATTTTGTGTCTGAATCTTAACGATAAACTCCTCGTTAGATTTTGGTTTAGGGCCCTCTCCGATCCCCTTCAAATGAGTGCCAAACGTCCGCACCGGGTATAACAAGGAAATACGGTCAACGTCAACAGCAAAGCGAGTTTTGAGGGCCGAACATATCGTCTCGTGTTTCAGTCTGTGGTTACGCTGGCATTCTTTACTGCAGTAAGATGCAATGTGACATCCTGGGCACTTCAATAAATGCACTACTTTATCTCTTCGGCGACGACAATAAGTGCATCCGCTGCAGGTTCGTTCAGCCACCTCTCTGGGATGATACATACCTTCCTTATTGTTAAATTCTTTATTTCTTCTAAGACTGGGAGCATTTGAATATAATCGCTTTTCACCCTTCGGAAACATAGCACCCATAGCATCAATCTGGTTGTCGTCAAGTAAACTGTAATGTTTAATCGGGCTACCGTTTTAACATTGATACTCAAGCCAAGGGCCACTGTGATCTCTGACAGTATTTGTTTCCAGAAGAACCCTGCCAGAATAATTGACACCAATATTAATTCCGCCACATTTGTTGGCAGAGAGTTCGTTTCCAACTATGTGTGCAGATGTTCGGGGTTTAGCGAGGATGCCCCAGAATCCATTCTCGAAAATCTTATTCCTGCTTATGAACATTTGAGAATTCTCATCAAGGGAAATCCCAAAGGGTCTTTTGTGGTGGATAGTGTTGTTGCCGAGTCCTATCTTCTCTTCAGTTTCGAGAGCGAGAATCCCTTCTCTTTCATTTTCGAAAATCTCATTTTCAGAGATGTCACATTCTCCAGCGGTTGGACCAATCAGAACGCCGTGATAACCATTATCGAATATTTTGTTTCCGAGAGCTTCAAGTTTTCCACCTTCACTGGCTTCTAATCCTGCTTGGTGGTTCTTATAGACCTCACAGTTTTTTACAATTAGTCGAGAACTTTTCCCAGAAACAAGAACGCCACCACCACCACAATTATGAATTAGACAGTTTTCGATCAATCCAGATGCCCCGTTTGAAATGTCGACGCCCGGAAAGCCAACCATGCCAGACTGTGATGCTGCACTGCCAAATTTTCCTGTCCGATCGCAAGCAGGCTTCCCAAAAGAGGGCCCCACACAGCCTTCACCTCCGTTCCATTCTGGATAGTCCTCACAACTTGTCTCCCCTCCTGAGATCTCACACTGATTTAAGTGAACTGCTCCATTTTTTTCTTCGCAGATCAGGGCAACGTTCCCTTTAGGAAACACAATATGTTCAAAATAGCATTTAGCGCGGGCAACTCGGCACATCTGTGCACAATTTAAATAGGTCTTGGGTCCAAGACCTACAATCTGAAGGTCCCTAAATGTTCCAAAGGAAGTCAATTGGTAATCTCCTTCATGCAACAGCAAGGTTTCGTCCCCTTTAGTGGTCATCAAAGCAAACGCCAGCTGAGTTTCATTGTTTATCTCTCTGACGCGAAGTCCTGGTACCTCAGGAAACCTCTGACAAAACGTTTTGTCTTGGCTAAGACTGGGATCGAAGTGAAGGGCGACTGCTATTGCTGCACGTTTCTGCCCTCCAAGCTCAGTATTTCCACCTTCTACAAGTTCGCGCAGAGCCCAAGCTTTCCGTTGAAGTGCTTTGTTGTAACCAGGTTTTAGATAAAGACATTTTTGACAATCTTCCAGAGCTTTTCTCGGGTCTCCAAGTTTTAAATGGCAGAGGGCCCTATTACTAAACAGCTGGTGGTCTTCAGGCCACAGATTAATGGCTCTTGTATAAAGACGCAGTGCCTCTTGGAAATTTCTACTTTTAAATGCATCGTTCCCTTTTTCTCTCAGTTGGTCGCCTTCCATCTTCCTCTCATTATAAGAAGAATCTTTAGCCACGGCCTCGTTTTCAGGAGGAAGGCTTCTCATACAACACGTTATCACCTTGTGGTCCTTGCCTTTCAAAGGTACATCAACAAAATAATGCGGCAAGCTACAATCTTCCTCAGGAGTCGGCTTTTCAAGGTGTACTAGCAACTCTAGTTTCTTTTTTTGCATAGCCTGAGCTTTCACTTTCTGATGCGAAACACTAAAAAATATCGCTGCTTCGTTAAATATACGAACAGTTGCATCAGTGTAGAGCAAACTATGCAAACTCTCGACATCATTTTCATGTTTTGCTACGTAGCCACGCAAATGTTCTTGCAAGTATGTCGAGTGCGAAGCCAACTTGCCCCACAGTTGTAACGAAGGAGGATTCTCAACACTGAAAACCGCATCTTCAACGAAACTTTTGCAGACTTCCGCTGGGGAGAGTGTTTTTGTTAGTGCATGGTTAAGTGTGTGCACTGCACAGCAAAGCACACGAAGTTCAGTTTCGTCCTTTTCAATCTCACTTTGGATAACGTCTTGTACCAGGCGATGAACACTGAAAGAATCTGTCCCATGCCTTTGAAAAAGGGAAAACTTTGTCAGAAGGGACACTATCTCGGCTGCATCCCACAAATCACTTACTACCTTAGAAGTTCCTACAACGTGGAGTCCTTCGTTTATCACCTGATATGGAATGTCATCAGGACCTAGGTAGGCACAAATTTTCATTACGATCGTGGGGGTTTCTCCAAGATCCATCTGTTCTGACATTTGACTGACGAGGTTAAAATTTAACAGCCATGTTGTATGAACAGCCAGTCGCTCAGGTGGTGTATTTTCCACCAGATTACGAGCCTTCTTCTTCTTCAAGAGA